GACCATTCTTGCAACTAAGCCTGTATAAGTACAAAATAAGGAAGGAAAGGAAAGTCAACTAATTTGTAGATTACTTTTCCTGTTAGCTGTCTTTCTGAGAGTACTAGCCTAGGAAAAAATAAGTGAATTCTCAACTTATAAATGCCATACATTTCCGTAATTTTTTCTTGAAATAAATAGTTTGTTACTAAGTGGGAAATAGTGTGTATTTTGCACTGTCAGGATAAACTCTTATGGCCAACTCAAACATAATTTTCCCTTTTCCTCTAACCCAGTCTTCGGTTATTTTCAAGTTATGGTCATTCAGGCCTCTCACCGTACTTGAAAGTTTTCGAGAGCTGTCTGTTCATGTTTAGAAACTTGATGGTAAAGAAGCCGTAAGGGTTGGAAACATAAAATGAAGTTTAAGAGTAGTTGGCACTGGACGCCAGTGGCTCACGTCTATAATCCTAGCTGCTCAGGAGGCAGCGATCAGGAGGATCGTGGTTCAAAGCCAGTCCATGCAACTGGTTCACAAGACCCTATCTCAAAAACAAAACAAAACAAAAAAACCTCACAAAACAGGGCTGGTGGAGTGGCTCAAGATGTAGGCCCTGAGATCAAGCCCCAGTACTGCAAAATAAATAAATAAAATAAAAAAGGATAGCTGGAATATTTCATCATAAATGTAGGTTTCATAGCATAGGGTCATGGTTTCTTCTGCTTCATCCCACTGCCAGGAGCACTGCTTGGCTTATGGTATAGGAGAGACCTGTTACCTTGAGTAGTAGTTATCAGCAATTATTTGTTTTTATGTTGTTTTATTTGACCTTTTTCTTGGACCATTTAAAGTTCCCTGTCATATCTGACTCTTTAAACATGTACATTCATGGATTGCAAGACTGCTAAGGGATTCTTCTGCAGGAGACACATTTCAAGCACCCAAGATTTTGATGTTGTACTATTTGCCTTTTCATGTTTGTGCTCTGTCTTCAAGCCACAGTGAGTCCTTATTCGTTGTTCCCTCTGTGTCTTTGTTATTAGATCAGCACCCATATAGTTCAATATGACCTCATCTTAACTTGATAACATATGTAAATACCTTATTTGCAAACAGGTCATATTCATAGGTACAGGAACTAGGACAACATATCTTGGGGGGAGGTCAGGAGACACAATTCAAACCATGACGCATGTCTGTTTTCTGTACCTCAGATCTTTTGAGCTTGTTACCTTTCAGGGGAGTAATTCAGACTTTAGTTGCTAACTTTCTGTTCTTGACAAGTAGTTCGAGAAATAAGGCCTGTTTTCAGTTCTACGTAGGTAGATTTTGGCATCATAGAATTTTAAGACTCAAAAGGACTTATCTGGATAAGTCATTTTGTTTAAAGTTTTACTGTGAGAAGTGGTAGATCATTTTATTGTGCCTACAGTCTTAGTAGGTAAATAATACTTTGTACCCTGATGCCTGGTCTCCTATTCTTTGCTTACTTTCAGTAAAAACAGAGAAATGAAGTAGTTATGATTGGAATACAGTTCTCTGAAATGGTTAGATGTTTTAAGGCAAAAGTCCAGAGTTATTTTTGTACTCCTTTGAATCATGCAGAATTGCCCTCAGTCGTCCAGAGGCTTGGCACCTGTAAAGTACCTTGGTGTGTGCTCCTAGAAGCTCCACAGTGAGTGCTGGTGGGATGCAGATGTGTTGTGAATGTGAAGAAGAGTGTATTTGGCATGTGACTACTAATAACTCAAGTCCTACATGTCAGCATGGTATGGAAAGAAGCTGGCAGCACGGGGAATTTCCCTAGATTATCTTCATTTTCACAGCAGGCCCTACAAGTGCTACTAGGAGACTTTGTCCCAAGGCTATAGAACTAATGGATGGTAGAGCTGAGATTTGATCCAGGCCTGTCTCATTCTGAAGCATCCACTTAATGGCCTTGGTCCTGCCTCTGTCTCCTTTACTACACCATCTAACTGCTGTTTCCTCTATTAGTATTAGAGATGGGGAATGTCAAAACTATGACTAACTAGTAAACCAAGACAGCATTCATATTGGAGAAGAAAACAGTTTTCATCATATTTTATAAAATATTTTTAAAGCATTTAGGTTAAAAAAAATGGACAATGTGACATACATACTTTTCCCTTCCTATGTCTTTCATTTCCATCTTTTTAATTGAAAAAGAACATGAAACATTTAGTAAGGTATTGTGATCATTACTGAATTTGAGCTCTTCTAGAAAGGCTGTCTTCAGTTTAATTGATATTAAAATTGGTGTTATTTCTCAGAAGGATTGAAGAACTTGCTTTGTAAATTATACTCTTTTGGCAAAATGTAATTATTGGGGCAAAATAGATTAAACAAGAAAATATATGGCAATGAAATCTTTGTTGATTGTTTTCACTTGTACTAATTCAACCTGTATACTATATTTTTTGTTGTTGTTTTTGTTCTTTGTGCTGAGGATGCAACCGAGGGCCTTGCACATGCTAAACAAGCACTTTACCACTGAGTTCTCCCTTAGTCCTTGTACTGTGTTTTAAGATATAACTCCATAGAGTGTTCTAAGAGCTTTGTATAATTTTAAAATTTAGTGGCCTGGGTCAGTCATTCACCTTTTTTAGTTATGACAGAAAACTAACTCCAAAGATAGTGCTTATCAGAACAGCTGGTTCCAAGTGCCAGCAGGACTCTTGTCTCATTCTGCTGCTCTTTTCTGCTTTCCTCCCTGTTGACTGTGTCATTTTCAGACCAGAGCTTACCGAGTGATGCCAAAAATAGCCACTAGCATCCCTGGGGTTACTGTCTGCAAGCTGAGCACTAAGTTTTGGGGCTGGCTCTCACTGCCTAGCCAGGTCATGTGGTCATTGCCACACCATGCACTGCCTTTGGACTGAGAAGAGGAAGAATGGTTTCCAAACTAACTTGTGACACAGTTATCAAAATCAGGAGGAAAGGGTCTGGGCATAACTTGGAGCATAAGTTGTTGAAAGAAGGCACAACCAGACCTTTGTATTTTTTGCTGCTGAGAGTTAAGAGATCAAATCTGCTGACCTAAAAGAGTATGTTCAGTATTAACTACCAGTGCCTGAGAAAGGAGAAGACCAAAAATACACTACTGTGATCAGGTACGAGACACTACTGATTTTTTTTTTTTTTTACAAAATCATCCCCTGAAGTAATGATTGCCATCTCGGAGCACTTTACATGTTTTATTTAATCCAGGGCTGGGGGTGGGGCTCAGGTGGTAGAGCACCTGCCTAGCTAGTTAGAGGCCCTGAATTCAAACCTCAGTACCACCTCCTCCCCTCCAAAAAAAAAAGTTGTACATATTTTATTTAATCCATCCCAGCAAGTTTATGAGGCCAGCATGACTGTACTCATTACACTGATAGAGAAACCTTTGGATTTAAATTCAGCTGTGTCTAACTGCACTTTACTTGTACATCTCTCAAATTTGCTTTCGCTGTTGTTTGTCCACCTATCCGTCTGTTGCCCATCCCTTCAGAGTCTACCTGCACATCCTCTTGCAGCAGTCTCTACCTAAGCATTTGACACTTTTCCTCCATTCTGTCTCCCTGCATGCCTCCTCCACCTCTGCTGCTGTCACTGCAGCCCACACTGTGAGGGACCTGGCTCCCACTATACATTGTCTGGCCTTTCTGCCTCCAGTCTCAATCAGTCCCACCCCCACTTTCCTTAGAGCAGACAGACTATCTGATGTTATCAGCCGTCTGTTTTCCTTGGCATCCCAGATCCCACCTCTGCCTGCTTTCCAGCCCGCTCCAGCACACAGTACAGCATCCATGACTGTGTCTCTCCCATCTCCTGTGCTGAGTCTTGTGCCTACTCTGGACTTCCCAGTGTCTTTCTTCACTTTAACTCTTATTCCGTCAGGTCTGCACTTAAATACTACTTTTAAGTCCTCAGGGACTCCTGCATCTCTCCCACCTCTTTCATATCCTTTCCTTTTTCTTTTTTGCACTTTTGACAATTTGGAGTTATACATTTGTATATGAGTATTAACCTGATATTTTCCACTAAACCTTGAAAGAACCAAGTCTTTTTGGTTGAGTAATTACTGAGTCTCCAGCACCCAACACAGAGCCTGTAATACAGTAGACTCTCAAGTATGTATTGAATGGATCAATAATTGCCCTGTGCTGCCCTGTGCAGTATATTTTAAATAATTACTTTTTCAATAATTCTCTCATTCTTGATTGTTTTTGTTTTGTTTGTTTTTGTGCAGTACTGGGAATTGAACTCAGGACCTTACACATGCTAGGCAAGTGCTCTACCACTTGAGCCATATGCCCAGTCCTTCATATGTAATTTATTATGCAAGAATAAACCTGTATCTTCTTTGAAGCAGTTTTATCTCCACAACTTTTGGTTTGCTGAGGCACAAGCTGTGCTCCCTTCATTGCTAATATAATCGTCTGCAGTTCAGATGCTGTATAGTGATGCACTTGGTTTTTGAAACTGTAGCAGAGCCAGACATAATAGGGGAAAGTAATAAATTTTAGGGTACATAGCTCCTCTCAATTTGACCTGAGAGTCAAATTGGCTGGGGCAGGGAGCAAGAAGGTTCTATTGATTTGCTCCAAATGGTCCCTTGCCTACTACACAGAAGCTTGATAATGCTTCAACTCTGGTGTGCCCTCTCCAGAACCCAGGCATCCAAATTTACCTCTCTGTAAGTATCCTTGTAATTTCTGGCTGCCATCTGTGCTCAAACTGGCTTTGGAAGGAGACGCTATCTCTCCAGTGATTTATTATTTAAAGCAGTCACATCCTTAGTGATGAGAACTGGGAGTATTTGTGTGGCTGCTTGGCATCCACACATGAGGTCATATGCCCCAGGCTCACTGGCTGTCTCAGGTCAGAGGGAATCACTGTCTCCACATGTGTGGCCTTCTGACATGCACACAGGCACGTCAGCTGGAAAACTTATTTGTTCATGATCATCCCAAGTATTGCAGATAATCTAACTTCTCTCTCCCTTTTGAATCCACAGTTGGTCGTGTTCGGAGTTTGACCTGAGTGAGATTCGCCTAATAGTGTACCAAGACTGTGAGAGGAGAGGCAGACAAGTCTTGTTTGATTCCAGAGCTGTTCAAAAGATGGAAGAGGTGGCAGCACAGGTATGGAATGATGACTTGATTTCATCCACTTCTTTGATCAACTGCTTATTAACCCACACTCTTCTCTTTGAGCTATATTGTACAGCCATCAGTGGCTCAGAAAAACATAAACTACCCCACACACAGTCATCCACATGTCTGTTAGTAAACACAGATGAAACTGTTAGCAGGTTATCATGATAGAAGCCAACAGAGTACCATAAACACAACAAGACATGCATTTGCTGATAATTGCAATCCAGTAGGACTTTGAGGCCAAGTGTGTGCATCAAATGCTGTAAGAAAATAGAGCTCTAAAATTCATAAAACACTAAGCTGGATGTCGTGGTTCACTTCTGTAATCCCATGAGAGGGTTGCAGTTTGAGGCCAGCCTGGACAAAAAGTTAGTGAGACTCCATCTCAGCCAACAAGCTGAACATAGTGGTATGTACACTGTGGTCCCACTGCATGGGAGGCAGAGGTAGGTGGATTGCAGTCCAGACCAACTTCAGGGAAAAAAATGTGAGACCCTATCTGGAAAGTAACTAAGAAAAAAGTGCTTGGAGGCATGGCTCAAGTGCTAAGAGTGCCTGCACAGCAAGCACGAGACCCTGAGTTCAAACCACAGTTCCGCCAACAATGATAATAAATAAATAAATAAAATAAAATTCATAAAGTACTGGCATGTTCCTCTGAAGGGAAATAAATATATTTTTTGTTTCTCATAGGTATTAAAAAATGTTATAAAGCTGAGCATGGTGGCATACACCTGTAATTCAGCACTCCAGAAGCAGAGGTAGGAGGATCAAGCGTTCCAGCCTGGGCTACGTAGTGAGACCCTGTCTTGGAAAACCAAATGAATAAATAAGATTAAATAAAAGGTGTTAGGTAGCTGTAGGCGAAACAAAATTAAATAGGGCTTTAGTTTGCTAACGTGTATTGCCATCTTCAGAAGGGAGCGTTTTTCAGCCTCTCTGACCAAGGAGGCTTTTATCCATTTCCTTTTTCTGTGGAGAGTCATAGTGGGGGGTGGGGTAGGGCGGGGTAGAGGTACTAGAGCTGGGCAGAGTGAAGACAGATGGTTCTTGATTCCTTTGAGACAGAATAGGAATGGTAAAATAATGTGTTTAAGGTGAGAAGAGTCTGGTCTTCCCTGAGGCCTTTTGGATATCAGTCCAGGGTATTTCTGCATTGTCACTGTGAGACCTTTCACTTTCGTTTTAGCATTTGTTCAGTTGCTTCCGAGTGAAATAAATCCATCTGTATTTCTTATCTTCATGTCCAGTTGCTTACTACCCACACTGACCAGATTCTGGCAGTTTAGAGAATGTGCAGTTACAGAATTGTACAGCATATAACAAACACAGTGTTGTCTCACTGGGGCCAAGAGATTGTTTTCCTGCTTTTGGTGAGGGTCAATTTTGCAGGAAAGAAGTGTTTGGGCAAAGGCACTTTTAGCTCAGTGGACTCCATAGTGCTTTAGAGTGGCCTTCAGCCAGATAGCTAATCATACATTCAACCAATCACACATTGGTGTTGGGCTTGTTTGGTAGGCAGAGGAAAGGGCTCAGAAATCTCTCAGGTGATTCACCTGGGGCTTTGGTGGTAGTTGAGACCAAAAGCTTAGGTGAGCCAGCACTTGACTCTTTATTTGTTGGCCAGGAGATGCTGACATTTGGTTTCTCTGAACACTTTGCACCAATGGTTTGGTTGAGCACACACATTCTATCACTAGAGATGCTAATGGTGTGTCAGGTGGAGGGCAAGTGGTTTTCAAAGGGAATTGGAGTTGTTAATATACCTGAGCATGGTAACACTGGAATCTGGAACATGGGCTTTCTTAGAAGCACTCATTTAGCCAAAAAGGCAAATTAGGTTTAGGGACATTTGCAGCTTGCCCAAGATCATAGAAGAATCCAGTTGGTGCTTCACTTCCTGGACCATGGTGCTGTCTCCAATTACGGACCATTCAGTACACTGCACTCCAGACAGGGGCAAACAGTCAGAAGCTGCTGGGACTCACTGTTGCTTCCACCCTCTGAGAGGCCATGTTTCTCACTTAAGTGGTGTTAAGTAGCAGCTAGATCTGAAGAGGGTGTTGAAGGAGTGCTAGGGGCTCAGGGTTAAAGCAGTACAACTGTGAGTGCCGTCATTGCTGGAGTGGCTGCTGTAGACTAGCACATTTGTGTTTTCCTTACATTCTTTCCCATATGAGCCCCTCTTCACCCCCTTTCCCCTTGGCAAGCACATGCTTGCATCCAGCATATGACTGCAGGTGCTTTGCTTTATACCACCCGTGTGATGTCACACCGAGGATCAGATGAGCAAAGGCTGCATAAGAAAAATAAATAAATAAAAGGGCAGGATTCAGAATAGAAACTACTTCCTGAGGTTGTAAGGTGCTTCTGTAGGAGTAACACGTTCTAGTGGAGAGGATGGTGAAGTCATTGTCAAAACACTAGCAGTGAACTCTGTTCAGGGAACATAGAGTAGATAATCCTCTGTTACCTCTAACCTTTAATGACTCGATTCCCATCACCATGCCCTGTCCTTTACAGTAGCTCCTGTTTCAGGGTTTTGGCTTCATCTTTCGCAATTTCAGCCTCGTGGTTTCCTTTCCTGTTCCCCTTAAAGAAGTACCAGAAGAGGTGTGTCATTAAAAACACAAGCCCCGGCTGTCCAAGTTAACAGCTTTGTTTTCTTAGTTCCATTTGCTTGTAAAAATTTTAATCTGAGTTGTCATCTTTCTCCTCATAGTTTCTTAAGTTATAACTCTACATAGTACTAAAAATCTGCTAATAACCGAAGCAGAGACCAGTTCTCATTGTTGATTTTCCAGTATGAATGTAAATGTAAATACTAATAGTTAAATTATTTAAATAATTTAAATAATTAAATAAAATTTAATTAATAAAAATAAAATTTTTATATATAGCCTACCATTTTTTGTCTAGTACCCTTCCCAAATATTACTCTCAGGAACCATATTTTTGTCATCAATATAAAGAAAAACTTAAAAAGAGCTTCTATTTTTTTCTTTTCTTTTAAGGGAGGTAATGGAGTTTATTAATGGTAAGGAAAAAGCATTAACAAAAAAGCAGTGGCGGCCCCATCTGACTGGGGGGCCAGCTGGGATGGAAGCAGGTGAGCTTCTGGTTTTTAATTCAGTGCAGGCACCACAGTATTCTTGACAAAAAAATTCTCAATGAAGAGCATGTTGAAGAAGCCTAATTTCATTTAGTGACTCTTTTCCTTGTCTGCCTCTCTCAACCCAGAAAGCAGAGGATGTCCCTGTTAAACTGTCAGCCAAGTGCTGCCAAGGAGGTGGTGGCAGCAGCAGCAGCAGCAGCAGCATATCTTCCCACAGTTCTTGTGGAGGGTCCTTGCAACATGCTAAGGAGCAGCTTCCAAAGTATCAGGTAAGACGCTTGCTCTAGGAACACCAGGGAGCCGAAGTAATTGACGTAACATCTCCTCAGGGAACCATGCCCTGCCCCAGGAGTGTGAGGACAAGCGTTCATCAGTGATCCTAAATGTCTCTTCAGTGCTGTTTTCACTGTTTGACTTTTACCTCTCCATAAGCCCCACTCAAGCAGAGGTGAGACATCATAACATACTGAATGATGAGGAAATACTTCAAATGAGGCAAATTTTCTTGTTTCCTTTGTTGTCAGTTCCAGAATAATAAACCAGTTCCCTGTTTTATTAAAAGAACTCTTAAGACTTCCTGGAATGTGTATGACATTCTAAGAAAATAGAAATCTCCAATAGAAGAATAGTCTTGTATAGGAGAAAGAAATGGTAGGATCCAGCCTGAGTATGAGGGGAAGAGGACTGCTGACATTCTTTACCCCGTGTGTGTGTGTGTGTGTGTGTGTGTGTGTGTGTGTGTGGTGTGTGTGTTCTCGTTTGAAGCAGTGGAGGATAGGAACTAGGGCTATTCAATAGAAGGGAAGAAATGTTTTGTAAACATTGCATAGTAGAAGGGTATTAATTAACAGGGAATGCATGGAACTTTTTTTTTAACCATCTAGAATTTTGTGTACTATATTGCAAGAAAAACAAAGTCAGATCAATTACCTATAGCACAGGTCCACAGGACTTTGTTAATTCCACTGTCAGGACTTGTGCTGGGCATTTGTCTTAATTTTATAGTGCTCCTGGGTCTTAAAGCAGCTTGCAGTTTGAAAAATGTAGAGTGAGCTGGGCGCTGGTGGTGCATGCCTATAATCCTAGTTACTCAGGAGGCAGAGGTCAGGAGGATCAAAGTTCAAAGCCAGCCCAGGCAAATAGTTTAAGAGACCCTATCTTAAAAATACCCAACACAAAAAAGGGCTGGTGGAGTGGCTTAAGTGGTAGAGCACCTGCCTGGCAAGCTTGAGGCCTTGAGTTCAAACCTAAATATTGTGGGGAAAAAAAAAAAAAGTATAGCATGAACTCTCCAGTCAGTTGAGAATCAGAGTTGACACAAGGCCCTTGTGCCATAAGAGCAAGCAGGTTATAAAGCAGAGGTAGTGGGTGATTGTTATCTATCAGTAAAGAATGTGAAAAACCAATTGGTTTATGTCTGCGTAAGTGGGAAAAGGTTGATCTGAGTTGTAACCAAAAAGGAACCCAACTTCTGGTAGCAAGGCTGACAGGTCTGTCTTTCTGTTTCCTCCTCTGTTACTATATTTAAGTGGTGTGCATATGTCAGTGTGTGTGTGTGTGTGTGTGTGTGTGTGTGTGTGTGTGTGTGTGTGTGTTTGAATTTAAAACAATGGCAAGATTTATAGGCGAGTGTTAATGCAGATCTTTATGTGTTCCCTTGGGTGGAGAGCATGCTAGCAGAGTCTGCCTAATGGATTGGGGTTGGGAGAGATGGTTGTTTGGTTTCGGTTGGTCTGTCCTGGGGTGCCTGTGGCACACTAATTTGCTCAACATTCATTATCTGTCCTGTTATCAGGATGTCACCAGGACTCAGCACAGATACAAAGAATCCTATACTCAGTGCATTGGAATAGAGGATTTTAGAACCCAAGTAAAGGTCTGGTTCTAGGGATAAAGAAGTGTAGGGAGCAGTCCTATGTAAATAGTAATGTCAGAAGCATGGTGGAAAATGCAGACAGCAAGTAGGAGTGCCCTCCAGGAACAACAATATTCAAGGGTTGGTCTGAGACAGGAGAGATTCAAAAAGAAGAATAATTAACAGCATCAGATGTAGTGAGAGAAGTTTTATAAAGCAACCAGACAGTGTTCATTGAATTTAAAGGAAGGTGGAGGGCATCATTAGAGCAGCTGTAATAGATGGAGATCAGGGGCAAAGTCAGGCTGCACTGGTTAGACAGCTGGTGCTTAGCACCTCCAAAAATAAAAAATAAGGTGATGACAGAAAGGCATAAGGGATTGGTCAGAAGTTGGGCAAGTCAAGTATTTTTAGATAGCTTTGTAGAGTAATCAGACCATCTGTTACTTTTTGAACCTTGACAGAACTCTTCCTGTAGCAATTGGCATTTTGAACAACACTATCAATTGTTTGGTTGAATAATACTGAGCCATATTTCTTTTAGAATGTGTTCCTAGAAGAGTTACTCTGTTCTTTCATAATTTAATCTATAGAGCTTATAAATGGAGGTAATGGTAATCTTTGTTTCTCATAGTAATACTAAAAAGGATCTCTTATTGAAAAACACTTTGATTCTGTGTGAACATACTGTGTAAAAAGAAGAAATCAAGTACATTAGTAATATTTTTGGGAATAAATATACAATCAACATTAATGATTATGATTGTAAGATGACCAATTGCAGCTTTAAGAAACAGTTATAATTACCAACTAAACTAAAGAGGGAAAACAGAGATTAATAAACATTGTTTTCTATCCCATTGCACATCATTTCATGTACTAACTTTGACTTTGGTTTCTTGCATGTAGTATACAAGACCAGCTTCTGATGTCAACATGCTAGGGGAAATGATGTTTGGTTCAGTTGCAATGAGCTACAAAGGCTCCACCTTAAAGATACACTATATACGGTGAGGTGCCATCTTCTTCTGATTGTGAGAAGTAGAATGGTGGTGTTGACTCTTTACTTTAAAAACTCATTTCTCCCTCTGGTTTTTCAGTTCTCCTCCACAGCTGATGATTAGTAAAGTCTTCTCTGCTAGAATGGGCAGCTTCTGTGGAAGTACAAATAAGTAAGTGTGGGATTTAACACCCCATCCTATTTTTTGGATGTGTGTGTCTATTTCTGGATAAACTAATTCTTAGAGGGACATAAGATATTTTGAAGTGACAAGCAAGATCAGTGCTGATTAACAAAGGGGTCGCAGGTATTGTCCAATTACAGTGACTGTGAAAAGGCCTTTGACTTTCTCAGGTGCCTTTATCTTGGGTCTCCATTGATATTCTCTGTGCACCTACTGCCAGTCACTAAGTTTTAATTCTGTGGAAAAAACAAGGTAAAGGGGAACAAGGAAGGGGTCACATTGATGACTTTATGTTATTCCCCAGTATTTATCCTTTTTTGGTTTTCTTTTTTTTGGGGGGGAGGGAATGGTAGTTTGAGACAAGGTCTCTTTGTGTAGCTCAGGCTTGAACTGGCAGTTCTCTTGCATTGCTTCCCCGAGTGCTGAGGCTATGCCTGTGGGCCGCCATACCATCTTATTTTACCTTTACCTATTTCTGAGGATTGAAGGTGCATGCTGAGTTTTTCTAGGCTGTAGTGCTGTTATGGCAGGTTGTCTATGCTTGCCATCTGTCCTAAGCAGTCAGTTTAGCTATTGATAGGTACTTGGGTTATATCCTCTTTGGATTTTCACTCTTGATTCTCCCCCCACCCCTCTTGAGTGTGCACTCATCCACTGAGCTGCATTTCCTGCCCTTCTCTCTGTTTTTATACTTCTGCATAGACTAAAAATTCTAACTCTAACTTAAACTCCCCTCTAGACGCATCTATTTATACATATTTAACTTGCATGCAGAAACAATTTGTGTAGTTTTTTTTATAAGACAACATACTTTTGATAATTTTCAAGAGACTTACTATAAATAAAGGGGCATTCTTAGAGTTCAAATGAAGGCTTTTTTTTTTTTAAATAACCCTAGGAAACTAAAAATATATTCCTCAGCATAGTTTAGTACCATTGAGTAAGTCTTTGGTTACCCTTCAACAAAATAGTTTGAGCACTTAGCATTGGACTGCCACACTTAAGCTAATACAAGAATTGATGTTGTTTCTTCTTCTCTTCTTCCTCCTATTATTTAAATTTTTATTTAAATATTTATATTTAATATTCATTTAATATTTTTATTTAAATTATTTAAAATAAATAATTTATTTTTTGGTGGGACTGGGGTTTGAACTCAGGGCTTCACGCTTGCAAAGCAGGCACTCTTAACACTTGAGCTACACCGCCAATCCTTTTTCTTTTTTGCACCATCTGGCCTGGCTAATATTTCTTACGAGTTTTTCCTTTTTTCTTTTTTGGATGCTTGTAATTATCTAAATTTTCATTACATTAACTTCTTGTAATAAAATATTGAGCTCAGGTTTAAATAAAAATTATGTTGTCTTCTTTATACTATATTCTCAAAATCTCGATACTTAATTTCTTATTAAAAAAATAAATTTTAAAAATCTGCTTTCCTCACATTTTCATGAGTAATTCTAACGTTTTAGAAGGTGTGAAGTCAAACTCCTATGAGAATCATAATTTCTGTGATACGTCTTCCTCTTGAAAAAAGTTGCTAAATTATTCATAGACCTTAACCAAGAGTTAAAATTAATTCCATTTTGAAGATTTATGTAAAATCCTTAAAATGAATAGCAACATGTTGGGTGTCAGTTGGTTAAGCAGAATTCAGAAATGCATAGCAGAGTCTTAGGTGTCAGTCACTGAGGCAGAACTTAGAGCTTGGTGTCCTGTTATGGAATGTGAAAGAGTGAGGAATGCAATCATTTAGTTGTATGTATTGGACTACTTCCAAAACCTTTTTATTTTTCCCCTGAAGTTGCCAATCTAATTTCCTTTGATAGATGTGGTACTTTATTATTTTATAAAGAGAAGTATTGAATGACTGATTGTTATTGTCTGTATTTGAGAGTCTACTAGAAAATCGCTTTATCAGCCTCTTAATGTTTTTCTTCTCTCTCCTTCTTTCCCCCTCTCTGGATTTAGCTTGCAGGACAGCTTTGAATACATCAACCAAGATCCTCATGTGGGAAAACTGAACACAAATCAGCATAGTTTGGGTCCTTGTCGTACTGGGAGTAACCTAGGTAAAATGAGACACACACACACACACACGCACACACATGCACACAGCTTTTCTCTTAGCACCACTGCTGTGGGCATAGTTGGTGGTGTGTTTTGCTTTATTTGAGTTTGTTGTGCTGTGCTGGTTTGGTTTGTTTTTGCATTATCTTTAATCTTGTTTATTTGTGTGTGTGTATTTGCGTCTCCTGTGTGTTTCTGCTCCAGGTCTGCTACAGGCATGCAGCAGCAAACTGCTGCAGGGGGTGGCTGAAGGAGGACCTCTCCGGCTCACCCGGAGTGCTTCTTTCTTTGCAGGTTTGTGTGGAATGCTGAGCACAGTGTGACCCACACACATTAATAAATCCTGTGCAGGTTTTTGGACAAAATCCTACTTGTTCTTCTCTAGAAACTCAAGGGGCTCTTGTGATAAGAGAAATTAGTTTCAAATGCAGCCAAATTCGTGGTATTTTGAAAATTCCACCCATGAAAATGCCTCTGCTAGTACCCCAATATAAGCTGATTTGAGCTTATACTAAAATGAGCCCTTAGTGTTTCTAGGAGAATTTTTTTTTCTGATTTTTCTGAGTCTTTTCTGCTACTGTGAACTATTTTCCCTTTACCATGGTGTCTTTTATCCATTTAGCACTTGCATCCTTACCTGCATGGAGTTTCTCTAAAAGTCATTATAGTAAAAGCATGGAAGATTCATATTCTCTCTCTCTCTCTCTCTCTCTCTAATACTTTCAATGCAATGTCTAGGTTTCTTACAGGTATAGTCATCTTGGTATTCTGGGTATATTCTGAGATGTAGTTGGCCTTGCTATCTAAAGCTGTTAAATATCTGTTTTAGTCTTCACATGATTAACAAGTGTGGGCAATCTTTATTACTAATACTTAAGGTTGTAAGTGTAACAAATGGTATTTTTCATTGTTCTTTGTATCCCAAAATATCCAAACACCATAGTTATCTAATCCATCCCACAATGAAACTGACACCTCCCATCTACTTAGAGTAAGAATAAAGTGTTTATATACTTCCATTAAAATTGTGAAAATAAACATACTTCAAAAAATAGCTAGCAGCTAGTAGAACCTGGCAGGGCACTGGACTTCTTGTGTATTGTAAAACTTACTTGAACAACTTTTAATCTACCTTCTAGCTCATTAGTATACAGCTTAGATCAGTTTGAAGCTTTCCTAGAAGTCTTTCATACTTGATTGTTTTCCAAAATTCATAGCAGAACATGAGTTTTCCTATGTAACTCTACAGTAGTACTGTGTAAATGGGAAATAAGTAGAGGAAAAAATAGCTGAAATGAGTATTAAGTGTTTTCTGTCTGCTAAGAGAGTGGGTTATAAACAGAGAAACATTTTTTGAATTTAAGAAATTTTTTTTCTGGAGTTGAACATCATTCACAATTATCTGTGTGTTGTAGTAAAATAAAAACAAATGGTTCCTTGGTTTTATTTTCTTCTCTCTTTTTATGTATTTAATTTTGCTTTGTACTTAATCTCTATAATAAACTAGGCCAATCATCAGTAGTTGTAGCCTGCTTTGAAATGTAAAACTTTCAATGGCTTTTTGAAATCTTTCCTGTCTTGGTAGAACCTAACTACATGGTTTTCTCCTATTTTTGTCTTAGCACACAGCACACCAGTTGATATGCCGAGCAGAGGACAGAATGAAGACAGGGATAGTGGCATTGCCCGATCAGGTATCTCCTCTTAATGATTTAATACAGTGGGTTTCTGCAATGGTATAGAAGTTGGGAAAGTAGAAGATAGGTAGATAGTCCTTACTCTTAGGTGGCACTCTTTTTCTTTTCTTCATATCCTAAGATACTCTAAGGTGTCCAAAGATCCGAAACTTTCATGTACAGCATCTGGGAATGATTGTGCAATGTAAACCATGTTTAATACATAAATTCATGAGACTCGTGTATGCTGAGAAATTTCTTTCTGGAGGGGAGATTTCTTGAGCCAAGCAGGAGTTTGCTTTTGCTGAGTATAGAATCAGAGAAGGGAAATGGTCTATAGAAGTAAACATACCTGTGACAGTGCAGGGGACTTCCAGCTGACCTGCTCTCCCTTTTGTCTGTCCTAAAATGCTGATCTAGATTGTATTTCAGCTACCCTTCTATGCTTACTTCAAGCCCTAACCTTTTCTAATACTGCTTTTAAGATCTCTTTCTTGGTTTCTGTTTTTGTACACAAGTCTGCTTTCGCTTTTTGATTTTGATTTGTGGTTCAGATCTGAGGTAGGTTCTGTTGTTATCAGAGAAGGGTGATGAATTAATAATCTGGAATTCAAGCACTTCGGGCATGTGAAGCCTTGCCTGATGAGTACATGTCCTACAAGTAGCCTCTGTCTTCCAGGGAGTAGTAGGAGTGCCCTCTGGTTTCTCCTGTGACATGTGACTTCATCAAAGAGGCCAGCCAGCCAGCCAGTACGTGGACTTAACGCAGGGCTTGTTGCCTTTCCTCCTGGCCTTTCATTCATTTCTCTCCTGTTCTTACCCTAAGAGACTGCCTCAAAGGTCCTGTGTTCCTTCTGTGTAATAACAAAGCCCTTCACCCTGCCCTATCCAGCTCTGTCACTTAATACAAAGTATATAGCATCTTTTTATGATTAAAGTGGCTCATTTTCATGGAGTTGGGCTAGGAAACTTTGGTCAGAAATGTAACTCTCGTTGATTAGACCTGTGTCATTTTCACTTATAGCCCCTTTTGCACAAACAGAATCTGAAAAGATACAATATGTAACGTGCCAAGGAACTGGTTTTATTTAATGGTGCTCAGAATAATTTCATCATTCCTGGTGGGTCACTGTCAGCTGAACTCTTGAGTTTTCATCAGTTACTCAAAGACTGAGTAAACATTGAAGAGCATCGGTCCCAGGGCTCAGCCTTCTTGCCCTTGGGAGCACATTTGGGCAGGACTGGCCCTGGAGCTATTATGGTTGATTTCAAAGCAAGAAGGTGTGGGGTTTCCTCATGAGTGGAAGCACCACTGTGGAACCAAATGACCCTTAGTCATAATTGCTGCCTGGCTGGCTGATGGGATTCATTGTGTTTGACTTTGTGTGGTGAGAGAGCCTCCCTCCCCACCTCCACCCCGACAAGAAAGAAAGATGAGTAGTAGAGCAGTATGTTCTACTGGGGCCTGTTGCAGGCACTCAGAGTTTCTGTCCTACTATAATCTTATTTTATTTTATTTTATTTGTTTATGTTCTTTCTTGTTCAAAACAATATTGAGAGATTTTGAGAGAAATAATGTCAATAGAAACATTATTGGGAGGAAGTGTGATTTTTCCTACTTCATGTTGTATAGGTCATAATCTCACTAGTTTCATAGTCTTCTGATTCTAAATTGCTCCTAAAAGTACTTTTCCTTGCCATTTGAGAAGCAGTACAATTGAAAGGCCAAGTTCACATTAACACTTTAATGTGTACCAAGTTGGTACAGGCACATCTGAAATGTTTTCTCACAGCCCATGAGAGGGACTTGGGACTGACCAGATTTGGGAGGAGGTAGGGAGGTATGATACAAACGTGAGTTTTGAGAAAGCTGACTTTCTTTTTTGGCAGTCCCTACTTCCAAGCTCCTAGTTCTCCTGTGGGGAGGAGAGGGGCAGAGATGACAGAGAGGCCTAACAATGCTCCTGAGTGGCATTTTACTTCTCTTGCTCTCTTGGTAGACACTCTCACCTTCAGGTACCTACCATCTGATCACACCTGGGAGCTGCTCTGAAATCCCTGAGTCCATGCAAAGACTAGTGTGCATATCATACCTCTGGTAGGATTCAACTCTGTTAGCATGAGAACTCTTCGTGCTCTTACTGTATTCTGTATTCTACTTAAGATTTCTTCTTGTTATTACCCTCCTTAAATTGTGGGGGAACCAAGATCCCCAGTTCTGTAACAGAATAGGAGCTCCAAGCGTTACCAGTAATTAGCAGTAGATGTACAGCAATTAAAGACGTTGTTTATTCTCTTTTAACTTCTGTCTAAAGACTTGAGGGATAGGGAAATTTCTAAAAACAGTTTTTAGAACTGTTTTAGATTTCAAAAAAATTGGGAGGATAGTACAGAGAGTTCTATAACCTGTCCCTAATCTGCCTTATTATTAATATTTTAACATTAGTGTGTGCATTTGTGACAATTAATGTACCAGTATCAGTATTAATAACACATTCTCATTAGTGAGTGCTCACAATTTATTTGCTTCTTCCATTTTTACTTAATTCTTTTTTTTTTTTTCTGTCCCAGGACTATACTACATTGATCTTCTTTGGCTGTGACAGTTCCTCAGACTTTCTTTTTGATAATCATGATGGTTTTGAGAGATATTGGTCCTACTACTAGAATATGTTTGTTTTTTCTCATGATTAGATGGAGTTTGTGAGTTTGGGAAAGGAAGATTACAGAAGTAAAGGTGCTATTTTCCTTACATGATATTAATGGTTCATTCTATCAATATAACTTATGACCATTGATGTTGGCCTTGTTTACCTGACTGGGATAGAGTTTGTCAGGTTTCTGCACTGTAAAAGTGACTATTTCCTCCTTTGCATATTTTATGCTACCTAAGAATTGGGTTCCCCTCCTTGAGTGCGGAGGGTTTATGTAAATTTTTTGGAATTTTTCTGCATGGAGTGTGTCTCTTCTCCCCATTTGTTTATTTTCGTGGTCATTATATCATTATGGTCTTGAAGATATGTATTTTTTTTTTTATTGTATTGATTGATTTTTGCGAGACGGGGGTTTGAATTCAGGACTTTGTGCTTGCTCAGCAGGCACCCTACTGCTTGAGCCACACCTCCAGTCTGTTTTTTTTTGCTCTGGTTATTTGGAGATGGGATCTGAGAAACAATTTGCCTGGGCTGACATCAAACCCTGGTCCTCCCGATTTCAGCCTCTCAAAAGTAGCTGGAATTACAGGTGTGAGCCACTGGTGCCCTGCTGAAGATACTTATTTTTTACTTTGGATTGTAACCAAATACTACTTTATTTTTTCCCAAATTGTCTTAGCTTTGGCCATTGGTGCCTCTTTCACTTGGCTCCTGTGGTGCTCCTTTCACATACCCACATCTATGGTGGGGGGGGCGGGGGGGGGCGGAGAGTTGAGCTCTGTCTTATGTTCTGGTACTGACAACTGCTCCATAGTCATCTTGTTTATTTCTTGTCCTGGTCTTAGAACCAGCCATTTCCCCACTCATAGAATGTGCCTGAGGGGGAACACAAGTTGGAACAGGTGTGGAGGGGAAATACTCACTGTATTTCCTTCTGGATGTTTTGAGCAGGATTCCTATGCCTATATAAATCGAATTTCTAATCAGTTTGTTTATTTATTTATTTATTTATTTATTGCGGTACTGGGGTTTGAACTCAGGGCCTTATGCTTGCTAAGCATATACCCTACCACTTGAGCCACACCCCTAGCCTCAAAAAGATAATTTTAAGAGGTTATTTTAGTGGCTGCCATTAGAAGTTTTCCAGTAAGGTTTGAGAAAGAAGAAGGATGAGTTTCAGGCATATAGGAAAGTAAGATTTGCAGGGCTCAGTGACTAATGGGATGTGGGCTATGGGGGAGGAGAATGCTCCAGTTTCTGGCTTGAGAAAACAAGCAGAACATGGTGGCATTAACCATTGTAAGGAAAGCAAGAGGCCATTTGGGGGAGACAGGTATTCATATACTTCTTAAAGTGTTGACAAATTCTCCAGTTGTGAGCATTTGCTGTATTTAGAAATAGGAAACTGGATTGAAAGAGATGAGTTGGAGCAGAAGCTGAAATTTGGAAGTCTTGGGTACATGAGTACCATAAGGTTCGGAGGGCTGGGGTTGAGACTGGTGTCATGGAGCCTTGTCATCTGCCCATAGTTCAGCTCTAGGTTCTCTTCCCCATTAAAGTGTTCATATCACTGGCCAGAAAAGTAATGTCCTTGTTTTCTCTGCAGTTGTTTTTCCTTTGTCCTTCAAAGTAGTAAAAAAAAGTAGGAGATCAGCATGAAGAAAACTGCTAGTTTGCACCAGCAAACGCTTCTATTCAAGCGTTTGAAAAAGAAACTTGAGGCTGAGGAGCCTCATGATCATAGCACTCAGATAAAGCGCGTTTCACTCGCTCTGCAGACTCAGCATGGACTCCCCCAGTACTGAATTTCATCATCAGAACCAGTGTCACCACATGTCACACCCAAAGAAAATGAGAGTTACTGCTCACATAATGAGGGGCTTCTTGGGGGAAACGGTGGGCTTCTCAAGCTGGCCAGAAAACAGCTTTTGAGAGAACAGGGAAAGGAGACTACCTTGGGATATTACAGTGGCTACGCTGTGGTAAGGGTTGCTGTGTGTGCTTTGAACTTCCCATGGGCGCCAAAGCAGAAAGCACCTGAGCTTTCTCATCAGCTTGTTCAGATGAGGAACAGAAAGGGAGGGAGGGTGGGAATGGGGCTTTGAAGCTATAAGGAATCAAAAATCACAACATGGGAACCCTTGGAGTGTGGCAGAGTGACAGCACATTGGTTCCTGAGACCACCACAGATTTGACTAATGTAGTGCTTGGTAGAGAGGAGCATGAGTCAAGGAGGGTATCATTTTTTGTTATTGTTTGGGGGTTTTTAGTTTAGCTTTGTTTTGGTTTTGGTGGTTCTGGGACTTGAACTCAGGGCCTTTCGCTTGCTAGGCAGGGCTCAACTACTTGAGCCACCATGCCCCT